GAGGAGGGGGAGTCTGAGGAGTAGGAGGAGGAGGAGAACGACGAGGAGCATAACGACGACAAGGACGAGGAGGAGGAGGAGGAAGAAGAGAAGGAGAAGGAGAAGAACGAGGATGGGGAAGAGGAAAAAGAAGAGGAGATGGAGGAGGAGGATAACGAGGAGGAGGATAACGACAACGAGGACGACGAGGAGGAGGAGGAAGAAGAGGAGGAGGAGGAGGAGAAGGAGGATGGGGAAGAGGAAGAAGGAGAGGAGAAGGAGGAGGAGGAGATCGAGGAGGAGGAGGAGGAGGAAGAAGAGGAAGAAAAAGAGGAAGAGGACGAGGTGGAAGAAGAAGTGGAGCAGGAAATAGGAGAAGCAAAAGGCGGAAGAGGAGGAGGAGGAGGAGACAAGCGCTCCCGGTAGTATCGTCGGCTGGCGGGGCCTTTTGCTCTGGTGGAGGTCTCCCTGTGTGTGTGTGTGTGTGTGTGTGCGTGAGTGTGGAGGAGGAAGAAGAGGAGGAAGAAGAGGAAGAGGAGGAGGTGGAAGAAGAAGTGGAGCAGGAAATAGGAGAAGCAAAAGGCGGAAGAGGAGGAGGAGGAGGAGACAAGTGCTCCTGGCAGTATCGTCGGCCGGCGGGGCCTTTTGCTCTGGTGGAGGTCTCCCTGTGTGTGTGTGTGTGTGTGTGTGTGTGTGTGTGTGTGTGTGTGTGTGTGCGTGTTTGTGTGTGTGCGTGAGTGTGTGTTTGTGTGTATGTGTGTGGTTGTGTGTGTGTGGTCATGTTCGGTGTAGTCGACGGACGTCCGACTAAACAGTGTGGTACAGCCGGACGATACAGTCTGCCTCAACAACTGAAGCAGCCCACCCAACCACCCTCCCAACCACCCAATCAATCAATCAATCAAACACACACATACATCGTTCGCACATACACACACACACATACACACACACACACACACACACACATCAATCAAGCAAACAATGAATCGGTCTATCAATCAATAAACCAATCAATCAATCAATCAATTTAGGTGATCTGTTGATTGATTGGTTGATTGCTTGATTGACTGATTGATTCATTGAACTCTGTGTGTGTGTGTGTGTGTGTGTGTGTGTGTG